GAACAAATACATAGTTATGATGAGGAAGGGTGACTCTTCCAAAATTGTGAATTTCATGGCCCCTGACTCGGGTTCTGATGTTAGGGTGGGGCTCTGATGATTATATAGTGAAAATGCATTAATTCTTTGAAAATCTTCTCCTCTGCTCCTGGGTATTAGTGAAACAAACTAGATGCATAGTTACGATGAGGAGAAATGCCTCTTCCAAACTTGTGAATTTCACCAGGCTCCTGGGTCAGGGGTTCTGGTGTTCGAGCGGGGTTCTAATGTTTATATAGTGAAAATGCATGAACTCTTTTGAAAACCTTCTCCTGTGCTCCTAAATTACACCGATGAACTTAGTACATTGTTTTGATGAGGAAGAGTGCCTCTTCAAAAATTGTGAATTTCATGGCCCCTGGGTCAAGGTTCTAGAGTTAGGGCATGGATCTAATGATTATATAGCGAAAATGCATTAATTCTTTAAAAATCTTCTTCACTGCTCCTTGGTGTTAATGAAACAAATTAAATGCATAGTTATGATGGGGACAGATGCTTCTTCCAAAATTGTGAATTTCATGGTCCCTGCTTCAGGGGTTCTGGTGTTAGGGCGGGGCTTTAATGGTTATATAGTGAAAATGTGTTAATTCTTTGAAAAATCTGATCTTCTGCTCCTGGATGTTAAGTTGATGAACTAACTACATACTTTTGATGAGGAAGAGTGCCTCTTCCAAAATTGTGAATTTCATGGCCACTGGGTCAGGGGTTCTGGAGTTAGGGCGGGGCTCTAATTATTATATAGTGAAAATGCATTAATTCTTTGAAAATCTTCTCTGCTCCTGGGTATTAAAATGATGAGCTAAGTACATAGTTATGGTGAGGAAGATTGCCTCTTCCAAAATTGTGAATTTCATGGCCCTTGTGTCTGGGTTTCTGGTGTTAGGGCGAGGCTCTAATGATTACATAACGAAATGCATTAATTCTTTGAAAAAATTCTCCTCTGTTCATGGGTATTTAGGAAACAGACTAGATGCATAATCATGATGAGGAAAGGTGCCTCTTCCAAAATTGTTAATGATGTGGCCTGTGGGTCTTGGGTTCTGTGTGTGTGTGTGGGGGGGGGGGGGGGGGGAGCACATATTAAAATAAAATAATCTTCTGTACTGGCTAAGGAAAGTAAGGAAATCCATTGTAAATGTGTCACAAGATTTTATTGATGAGGGTGACGATAACTGGTAAGTGAGGTTGAAATAACAAATGATGATGAATGATGTATGACATTCAAATACGTAGAAAATGATGTTTGACATAGAAATATGACGTTGAATGACGATTGACAAGACAATTGATGATTTACAATATAGAAGTTTCTTCCAGTGACATAAATATCAGTTGTATCTGTACAAAGATGACTGGAAAACTAGGAAATCCATTGTAAATGTGTCACAAGATTTTATTGATGAGGGTGACGATAACTGGTAAGTGAGGTTGAAATAACAAATGATGATGAATGATGTATGACATTCAAATACGTAGAAAATGATGTTTGACATAGAAATATGACGTTGAATGACGATTGACAAGACAATTGATGATTTACAATATAGAAGTTTCTTCCAGTGACATAAATATCAGTTGTATCTGTACAAAGATGACTGGAAAACTAGTAGTAAATACTGCAGGCACCTAGCCCTGCCGTGTCCTGCCATAAAATCACGGGCTCTACACAAAAAAATACTGTGCCCCAAAAATGATGATGTCACATCACAAGTGCAGTGATAAGTCTTATTACCGAAAATGGCCGTAACATTTTCTTTTGCTCCAGGGTATTAAGCAAACAAACTAAATGCATAATTATGATGAGCAAGGTTGCCTCTTCCAAAATTGGGAATTTCATGGCCCCTGAGTCAGGGGTTCTGGTATTTGGACAGGGCTCTATTGAGTAAATGAAAATCTTCTCCATTAAGCAAACAGACTAATTGCAATAATGTAAATGTTTGAATAAAAATATAAGTAAATGTGCCTTTTCTCTGCTCCTGGGTATCTAGGGGGCAGAGTATAAAATTGTAATAAGTAAAGCAAATGAGAGTTACTTCCCTTTGCTAAATTGTGTTTAATCAAGAAATTCTTCTGTTTAATTTAATTAACAGGTTATTTGATTGAATGAGAATACAAGAAAGAATTTTATATATATTGAAACAAAATGAAAATAAATGTTTGGTTTAAATGAGCAAATTATGCTCAAAGTCAAATTATTGCTTGGTAAGCAATATAAAAGATTGATATAAAGATTATTCATGTAGCAAAGGGCCAATTGTACTTAGTATGTGTACACTGGGGTGTCCTGTTTGATGATAGAAAGAGTTATGTTCAGGTAAATTCATGGAGATCAGAGTTTGGATTGCTAGAGTCTGCTTGAAGTTGCGAGTGCTGGTAGCAAGTATTACTAACTTTATTATATAGTCAAGAGGCAAGTGTTACCAAGTGGCAAGCAGCTAAGTTGTTTGTGTAGAGGTATCACCTTGAGTAAATATACAGGCATTAGAGATTTCTCTGTGTATTAGCACTAGGCAAGTGACAAAAACAATATCTGTACATATTGAATACCTTACACACTAGGCAAGTGTCCATTGTATTTGTGTATTTTGCATTCATTATCATCCATAAGGAGATCAGTTGAGTCTCACTTGTTACAATAAGTAAGGGTAATTTTACCAGATTTTTAGGTCACCTGAGTCACTCAGGTGACCTATTGCTATCCATTTTTGTCTGTCGTTGTGCGATGTGCATTAACATTTTCAGCTTCTTCTCTGAAACCGCTCAACCAATTTCAACCAAATTTGGCATATACATGTAGCATCTGTGGGGGAAGGGGAACAAAAATTGTGAATTTCATGGTCCCTGTCCCCCTGGGCCCTGAGGGGTGGGGCTAAAATCACCAAAATTAATGCAATCTTTAAAAATCTTCTTCTTTACTCCTGGACATCAAGCAGTCAAACTGTTGGCATGATTGTAATAAGCATTGAGCCAGAGTGCTTCTACCAAAATTGTGAAATTCATGGCCCCAGGATAAGGAGTTCTGGTGCTAGGATGGGGCTATATAGATCATATAGTGAAAGTGCATTATTTCTTTGAAAATCTTCTTCTCTGCTATTGGGTTTTAAATAAACTAACTTAGTGCATAGTTATGATGAGCATGGTTGCCTCTTCCAAAATTGTGAATTTCATGGCCCCAGGGTCAGGGGTTCTGGTGAAAGGGGGGGGGGCTTTATTGATTATGTAGTGAAAATGCATAATTTCTTTTAAAATATTTTTTCTACTACTGGTTATAAAGCAAAGAAACAAGTGTATAGTTTTGATGAGCAAGGGTGCTTATTCCAGAATTGTGAGCTTATGGCCAATGGGTCAGATGTTCTGGTGTAAGGATTTAATAATATAGTGAAAATGTATTTCTTTGAAAAATTTTTGTGCTTTTTGTGCTTTGAGGCAAACAGAAAAAGTTTTAATATGCAAGGGTGTTTTTACCAGAATTTTGAACACCTGGACCATTTAATCAAGTGTTCTGGTCCTGGCCAGTGCTCTATTAACTTGTATTCTGCTGAGCAAAGTTATTCCCCTTTGCCATTCACCTTTGATAGTAAATCACTGTAAATAATGTATTTGAATGCCTAATAGAATAAGAGAATTATGCAAGAATATTTATTGTATAGTACAAAAAGTACTTTCATAGTTTTAATGATCAGGTAGACTTGGAAATAATAGATGAATAAAATTGAGACAAAAATAACTTATCTTTTTTAATTGTTCTTCAAAGGCGCAAGAGAAGCCAATGTTGGAAGTAATAATATGGGGTTAAAAAATAGACAGTTTGTTAATAGTCTGCATGGTAATAGTGATAAATTGGGGACAGACAGATACTAGACCAATTATTTTGTTGATGCAAATCTTACTGTTTTTCTTGCTTTTGGGCAACAAAGCTTCATTTACCAGTTTATGGATCCTCTGAATTGTTGTATTGTACTCAGGTGACCATTAAGGCCCTTGGGCCTCTTGTTGAAATTCTTGGGCAAAATAGCTTCAATTATCAATTAATTTTGTTTTATACTTTTGTGGATCCTTTACAGTATTGTATTATACTCAGGTGACTGTTAAGGCCCTTGGGCCTCTTGTTTATTGATTGCATGCATAAGAGTTAGTATAATTTTTTTTTTAAATGTTTTATATTATGTATTAATGATTGATAGCAATGCTTTTAATATTTTTGTCAATTCAACAAGATATATTTATATATGATTTTACGAAAAGTTTGTACAAGAAGTGCTCCCTAAAGTAGGAGTGTATAATGTTTAAAGCAACTCGATACAAGTTTCCAGATTATTACAATAGGGAAAAATTGATAAATTTCATCTTGAATTTGCTACAGCTGCTATTGACACAACACTTTTTTTTTTGACAAAGCACATTTATTGTGACGTCCATCATCTGCAGCATCATCAAGACATAGATCCAGGGTATCATGATTGACACATGAAAATTTGCAGCCGATTTGATGCTTTGCATCAATAAATTATCTTGTTACAGTATTAAAAAAATTTCTTCTCAAGAAATACTGAACCAGGAAACGTTAAATTTTGTGACATTTTCCTGATATAGTACTGATTCAATTTTCTTCCAGTCATATTCCATGGGAGGTAAGGACCACAATGATGATCCCTGGAAGTGACCTTGATGATCAAATTTTACTTGAGAATATAAATATATATTATAAATATTGGGCAAGTCTTTTAAAATAATTTTCTCAAGAATACGTTGCTCACGAGGAGTAATATTAATGTGATAGCAATCTCAGGTAGTATAGATTCAAGCATATTCGATCATAGCTCATGGGGATAGGGTTGATCACTGTTCTGAAAAACAGCAGAAACAAGGTGACCCAGGTGAGCATTGCAGCCCATATGCCTTCAGTTTGTGTAATGTTGGTTGCTTTTGAATCTTTTCATTGATCATAATTTTATTTTCAGATGCAAAAATAATTGCTCATCAAATTATCAAACACCATCTTGGCAGTTGTTTGGTCAGCCATTATTCTTGGCTCTGCCAAGTAGAACGTGTACTGCTGAAGATTTGTATAATGGGTTCCTTCAAAGAGTGTCGTAAGAGGAAATCTTTACTTTTATTTGAATTTTTCAAAATAATATTTGTCATACTGTTTGTTGAAATATTACAAATGAAGCATTGATAAATGGATATATTCTGTTCATTAAGAACATAGGATACTCAAAACAATATACAGTATATATGCATGAAAACCCTATGCAGAGGTGATAATTTGTCTTCATTCGAAACAGTCCATAATAGTTTTTTCACCTGAAGAATCTAAATTTAATGAAATAGAGAAGGAAATATTTCTCAAACCTCTTTGTTTTCTTACCCACTGCTCTGATTCAACACTTTCAAAATACAGGTGACTCTCGATGGCTTGAAATCCAATCTCTCCAAGTTCTTGCTCTCTTGAAGTAAAACGCCAGTCCCATTTTTTTTTTCTCTCTGTGTAACTTAGAAAATTTACTCTTAATCTCTCAAACTTCCAATATATCTTAAGTTCTCTATTACCCCATTCATACGACGAAAATTTGCTTATGTGTGCAAATTTACAGATGAGTAAATTTACACACATAAGTAAAAGTTAATTTGCTATGCATTCAGACGAGATTTATGTACCATAAGTAAATCCTCAAATTGTCATTTAAAATAAGGAGATGGACCGCTTCAGACTTGTGAATTTTCACAGAAAAAGGGTATTTCCTTACTATTTGGGTATAGGATTAACTTACTATTTAGGTATAGGATTAACTTTTGGATGTTCCTCAAAGGAAGTAGAAGAAAAATTGGATCCAAAAATTGGTACGACAAAACCGTTCTTTATGACTTAAAGGACGAAGATTGGTATAAGAATTTTGAATGTTTAAGGAAAATTTCATAAAATTTTGTGAGAAGTTGGGAAATGCTTTTGTCCCAACCCAAAGGCTGTAGAAGAGCTGTTGGATGTAAAGAAGAAGGTGGCTGTTACCATCTACTGGTTAGCGTCTTCTTCAGCGAATAAGGGACGTACGATTGGAAATCATTTTGGTGTTGGGAAATCTACCCTGTATGATTGCAAACATCAAGTTTACGAGGCCATTATGGAACATCTGCTTGAAGAATATGTGTATTTTCCAGAAGGAGAATGAAAAGAGTGAAGATAACAAACTGTGATCGATCTCAAAAATCTTCAAAAAATAAAAATATGTGAAGAGGGAATAAACACGGACCCCTGGAAATTCCAGTGGTGGGATCAGGTGCCTAGGAGGAGTAAGCATTCCCTGTCAACCGGTCACACCCACCATAAGCCCTATGTATTGATCATTCTGGAGTCAAATTAAGTATAAACAAAGTCCTAACATTTGGTATGAAAGAAGTCAGCCAAAATACGATCCAATGATAGGTTATATTTGCTAATAAGATCATTATTATGACCATAGAGTAATTTTTCGTCAGTCGCCATATTGGGCATAAACTTCTCATACTGGACAATGAGGCAAAGATAACACAGTTTTTCTTAGGAATATATGTTAACAAAGTTCATAGGTTTAGTAATTCAAAGATTTTTGCCCTTATGTTTCTGCTCAAATACCAGTTTGATCTCCAAGATGGCGACCAAGGGAAATAACTCGAATTGAAAATGTGTCATATGAAATCTATATATTTACCAAATGATGACTTGAAACGAGGTTGTTGAAATCCTTGTAACATAAACTCATCTGTCAGTAGCCTGCCTAAGTCTAAAACTGAGAAAGGATGAAGAAAGTCATCAAGGGCTAAACTATGGTGGAGCGATTGATGGCACGCATATTCCTATCATAGCTCCTAAGCATTCACACGGAGACTACTTGAACAGGAAGGGATTCTACTCATTGAATCTGCAGGGTGTTTGTGACAACAGCTATATCTTTAGAGACATAAACAGGTTTGCCAGGAAGGGTCACAATGCCCGCGTTTTTGCATATTCAAAAATTTATTTCACAGGAGATAATGGTTCCTTGTTTCCAGAGTGGAGAAAGCAGTTTGGAGAAATTACTATGCTAGTAGTACTTCTCGGCGACACAGCGTATGCCCTTTGAAGACTTGGCTTTTGAAGCCATACACCAACAGATCTACCCAGATCTCAGTAACTCAGTTCACTTTCAATTTTTGTTTACTTAGCGTAAGACTGACCCTTGAAAATCCGCATATTTTTAGAGCTTTACTTTCTAGCAGCCATGTTTACAGACTGATATTTTACATTCCAATGCATATTCAACCATAACAACACTTTAAATGGAGATTGATGCAATACACATGACGAAAAACTTGCGTAAGTAAATTTGCTTCATGTTCATACGACAAATTTTACACACAGGAGCAAATATTTTGCGACAACGTGTATGCAAAAGTTAATTTACACCTTGTCCTGACCAGGTGCAAATTTACTCAACTGTGCATAATTTGCATATGAGCAAATCAGTTCATACAACAAAAATTGCACATGTAAGTAAATTTACATATGTGTAAAATATACTGAGGTATGCAAATCGTGTCATATGAATGGGGTATAATATAATTAGAAAGTCAAAAATAGATCCTTTCAGATCAGGTGTGCAGATACAAGTCTTCAATGTTCCACCTTTACACCCTGTCACCACCATGATTCAATTTATTCAGATGAGGTCTTGTAATTCATTATTACCAGAGTCACCAATGTTTGTAGATTTTAATGGTGACATTTTGTACAGAGAAAACTTTATAGGTATGTTACGACACATTTTACAAATTTTAAACTTTTAGATGATCAGAAATACTGCAGACATTCTTTTAGAATTGGAGCTGCAACATATGCAGCTGCAGCGGATATAGAGGATCATCTCATTCAAACATTAGGTAGATGGTCATCCATTTGTTACAGTAGATACATAAGAAGATCTGCAAATGCAGTACAAGAAGCTCAAGGGAAACTCAGCTCTTGTTTTTAAGTAGAAGGTGTACCATATATATCAACTGAATACAAGGTGTATATTTTACTTCTTGGGGCTCTCGTGTCTCATGCAATCTCTCAATTGTCATTTCATCACTCGTTTGGCCCTAAAACCCCAACAATTTTTATGATTTTTATTTAATGACTTAACTAATTTGTCATTTTTGTTTATTCACCTTAATTGACTTGATTTAAACTGATGAAATTTGATCAAGTAAATGTCACTGTATAATTCTGTGTTTGGTTTACAGCTACCTGCCAGCCCCCCCCCCCCCCCCCCCCCAGGTACCTGTCGACTCTGCTGGACTCCCCCAGAGTCCATAAAATTTTAGGAATCCACTCTATTTATGACTGCAGCTACCTGCCGGGCTCCCCCCCCCCCCCCCCCGGGTACCTGCTCACCCTGCTGGGATCTACCCCAGGATCTTATCTGTTAAATTTACAGCTACCTGCTGGGCACTCCCAGGTACCTGTACACCCTGCCGGGCTCCCACCAGGGTGCTTTACTCACCTATTTAGCAAGTAGACTACAATTAATCTTTACAGATACCTGCCGGGCTCTCCCCAGGTACCTGTATTCCCTGCTGGGCTCCCCCAGGGTTGATTAGATAGTCTAGTAGCCCCAAGAAGCCAAAATTGTAGCAGTATACATTTGAATGTAAATATGTTTTGTGTCGATGCTTATGTTGTTAAATGAGAGGATAGTGATCATATTACACTAGTTCTGAAATGTCATTTCTTGTTTATGTTGTGTATAAAAAGATGCATTGATCAGTAATAAAATGATGTAACTGAGAAATAAATACTTCACATATTTTAGCCTAAAGTGATGGACTGGAATTGAAATCAGTAAGATATTTAAAAAAAACCAATCACCATCTCTTTGGTTTGTGCTATGTTATTAACAAAGTGATCCTTTCTTTGAATTTTCTCTTATTTTGAGTAACCTATGTTCTTATTAACTAAAGATAATAAATTTATTCCTATTCTCAACCTGGATGTACACAAAATTGAGCTTACTATTTAAAGTTTCTGTTTAGTCGTTATGTACAAATTCCATCAAAGGATGAGTTGTGGAATGCTGATGATTTTAAAGACCTTGAAAAGGATGAAAGAAGAACTGATGATAAAAGTGACAATGAGGAGGAATCTGAAAAAAACGAAAATGGAGGTAAGCTTTTCTTGGGAGGGTAAAATAAGACATCCAAAATGTGAAAGGTGAGGATAACAAACAGTGATTGATCTTTAAAAAAAAGTACAAATATGTGAAGAGGGCATAAAACACAGACCCCTGGAACTCTGTCATAACAACATTCTTGGGACCTGTGAATTTACTTTGCTATATCCGTAATTTATTATATCGATATAAAATATTTGTTAAAGTACATGTAACAAATTCACAATACAGATTTTTTCCTTCAAGTATGACTATACCAAATGTATTTATAGGGAAGTATAAAATGCAAAATTTAACTTTGGGTTCAAAAATCTGATTGAGTTTCTTTTATTTTAACCCTGGGAGCAAAATGAGAGAAAAAGTAGTGTTTTTCTTAAAAAAAAAAACCCTGATTTCCTGAACTCCTCATACAATTTGTGCAATTGTAGCCAATTCATATTTTGGAATGTGATTGATAGAGTCTTGTAGATGTGCAATAAGGTTTTGGAATTTCAATTTTGACCCTGGGGGCATTTGGGGACCAAAAAAAATGATGTTTTTGTGCAAAATTTTGATTTCCTGATTTCCTAACAATTTTCATAGGAAAAACTTTTGGAATTGAATTTGCATTGGTGATGTCTTGTTGATATGCCTGAAGGTTTCAGAATTTTGGCAGAACCTTGACTGATCATATTTATATGGAAGCATCTTAGGTAATGTAGATTCAGTTTAATTCAAATCATGCCCTTTGGGGGATGGAGGAGCCACAATGGTGATCGAAATTTTGCATAGGAATTTGAAGAAAAAGATCTTCTCAAGAATAGTAAAGCTATGATTATTTGTATTTATATGGAAGTATCCCCAGTTAGTGTAGATTCAAGTTGGATTAATTTTTCCGCATGTGTCATCGAAATTTGAAGATTTTAGATGTCAGGATTTGTCTAAAACATATTGAATCAAAACCTTTCTGTAAATAATATTAATTTAATAAATTCAATTTATGATCCCCAGGGGGATTAAGTTAGGAGCCACAATGAGCAATCAAAGTTGTACGTAGGAATATACCATATAATAGGTATTTTCTGCAGTTGTCCAATTTTTGCGGGATTCTGTGGATAGGAAAAATCCACAAAATTACCATCACAGAATATTTTTCAATATTTATTCTGATATTTTATACATACAATTATCATAAGTGGTGGGTATGTCACAGGGTTCTCATTAACACAAGAATCTGTGTACTGGACGCAGCAAAATTATTTGGGATGCAAGATTATTAAAAACGATGCATCCGTAGACTCATGAGTGGCATGTGTCATCGAAATTTGAAGATTTTAGATGTCAGGATTTGTCCAAAACATATTGAATCAAAACCTGTCTGTAATAATATTAATTTAATAAATTTATACAAAGAACATCTTTTCTTGTACCTCTTTCTTTAAATATGGGTATAAGGTAAATGATTAAAAGAAATTTCGCGATTATTAATCCAAACTCCGACAGGTCACACGCGTGGCACAGTGGTTAGAGCATCTGCTCTAGAGTTATGAAGTAAGGAGTTGATCCTTATGTCGCAGGTTCGAATCCCGCTGTGGGACGTGGAGACCGGTCCTTCGGATGAGACCATATAAACTGAGGTCCCATGTCGCAGTAGGTGTTGGCACGAAAAAGATCCCTCACTGCTCAATGGCCATAAGTGCCGAGTATAGGACAAAATTTGCAGCTCTCCACCAGCAAGTGGTGGTGTCTCCATATGAGTGAAAAATTCTCGAGAGGGACATTAAACAATATACAAACAAACAAACTCTGATAGCTGCAAACAACAAATCGTAGCTTTTCTTTCTTTCTTTTTTTTAACACTTCTTTAGTTCTTCTGAACCAAAGGCTCTAAGAGCTAATGCTATGGCCATTTCTGCGGTGGGTGTAAACATTTTAGAATATGGGCCATAACTCAAGAACCCCTTGGCCAATTATTGCCAAATTTGTCACAGGGTATCCTTGGCCCAAGGGCTCCCTTTTATACTAAAACTAGGCTTGTGACCCTTAAACAAGGGGAGATAATTAGGAAAATAGAAACAAATGTACTGCAAATGTACTGGTTGCTAAAAAATCTTCTTCTCAAGAACCAAGATTATCACCAAACTTACAAAAAAGGATGAGGATATGTTATAGATTAAAAATTTTTCAAGGCATCACCCTGGGGCAAAGGGCGTGGTCTCAAGGTCACTTCAAAGTTGACCAAAAAGAACATTTTATTAAAAATGTTGATATTTTGCTTACTATAAGGACTAGGATCATCAAATCTTGTCAGTTGATGCATCTAAGGACCTCATATCATGTTGACTCAAAAGTAGGTCACGGTGACCTACTTTTTAAATTTTGCGGCCATTCTTTTTCAAAATGATTTAGAGGCATATTTTGAACAATTTAAGGCCTATGATCATCAAACTTTGTCATTTGATGTATCTTGGGTCCTCGAAGTACATCAACTAAAATGTAGGTCACCTTGACCTACTTTTGAATTTTATGGCGAATCTTTTTCAAAACAATTAAGGTCATTAATTCGAATACCGAGAGGTTTAGAATAAATTAAATCTTGTAAGATGATGTATCTTGGGGCCATAAAACATATTTATTAAAAAGTAGGTCACAGTGACCTCCTTTTTGAACTTTGCAGGCATTCAATTTCAAAGCATTTTAGAGGCATAATTTGGACATTTTAAGGCCTATGATCAGAAAACTTTGTAAGTTGATGCATCTTAATTCATCACAGAAGGTCGACTGAAAAGTAGGTCACTATGACCTACTTTTCAATTTATATGACTATAATTAAATATTTCAGGTACAAATTGGCTTAGAATCATCAAAATCTGTCAGTTGATGCATCTTGGATCTTCGAGTAGGTTGACTGAAAAGTAGGTCACCATGACCTTCTTTTGAAAATTTATGGCTTTAATTAAATATTCTCAGTAACTAATTGACTCAGAATCATCAAACTTTGTCAGTTGATGCATCTTGGGTTCTTGGAGTATGACAACTGAAAAGTAGGTCACTGTGACCTATTTTTTGAAATTTTATGGCTGTATTCAATATTTTCAGGTACTAATTGGCTTAGAATCATCAAAATTTGTCAGTTGATATATCTTGGATCCTCGCAGTATGTCGATTGAAAAGTAGGTCACCGTGACCTTCTTTTCAATTTATATGACTATAATTAAATATTTCGGGTACTAATTAGCTAAGAATCATCAAACTTTTGTCAGTTGATGCATCTTGGGTCTTACAAGTAGGTTGACTGAAATGTAGGTCACCATGACCTACTTTTGAAAATTTATGGCTTTAATTAAATATTTCAGGTACTAATTGGCTTAGAATCATCAAACTTTGTCAGTTGATGCATCTTGGGTCTGCAGAGTTAGTCGACTGAAAAGGAGGTCACTGTGACCTATTTTTGAAATTTTATGGCTTTATTTAAATATTTCAGGTACTTATTGGCTTAGAATCATCAAACTTTGTCAGTTTATGCATCTTGGGTCCTCAGAGAATTACAAGTGATAAGTAGGTCACTATGACCAACTCTCAGGTACTAATTGGCTTAGAATCATCTTGAGTTCTCAGAGTGTTTCATCTAAAATGTAGGTCATGATGACCTACCTTTGGAATTTCAAGGGCTTATCTAAATATAACAGGATACTTAGAGGCTTCAAATAGAAGTGATAGGTTGAACAGTTTATCAGAAGAGCGATTCAAGGCCCTTGGCGTCTTGTTAGTTTTGTTCCTGCTGGCCCTGAAAACAATATCTCATTCTGTTGGAAGCCAGTTTATAATGACTTCAAACTTTGATTTGTCAAACATCTCCCAGATAATTGTTAACACCAGCATCAATTATTTACTGATACACAACCTACTGTACTTAGCCATTGGCATTATTTACTTGGCTTGATAACTGGAAACGACACTTGCAAACTAAATTACAAACCAAATCCAGAAATGGGGAGATTTTCGGGTTGTTCAGCAAAAATCAGGTGAAAAGTATGACCTGCTGTGTGGTAAAAAATAATCAGATTACGCTAAAAAATCAGGTGTAAGTCGACGAAATCGGGTGAGTTGGCAACTATGCCCATCAATTGTCTGTAACATAAAACTTGCCAATGATGACAATTTCTTGATTGTCATAGAGTACTTTGTTGGGAAGAAAAACTATGATGTACAGTTAGGTTAAAATGTTTTAAACCTTTTCATACACATGTGAAAATACTCGTGACTTTGTTATTTTTCATATTGGATATAGTTTTGAGTTGAAAGTGTCACTGTGTCACAGCAAAACTTGACTTTTTTAATGGCTTAATTTTGTTTTTTTTCTTATACCTGGTATAGAGAATGTTTTTGTCTGAAGGTTACTTAAAGCTGACATCGTTTTATAAATTTATGTACATGCATGATTTAATAAAATGTAAATTATGAAAACTTTGAACAGTTTAGATGTGTTATCTCTTCTAATATTTTTATCTGATTTTTTGAACGTTGGCATCATATAATATTGTGTGTAAATGCATAATTTATTGTATGTACATGCCTAATTTATAATCTGATTCTTGAACGTTGGCATCATTTAATATTGTATGTACATGCGTAATTATATGAACATGTGCAACTTATAAACTGTTATGAAAATTTTAACCCTTTTTAATTTTAGCATCAATGACAATTCACAAGATTTTCAAACATAGAAATTAATCTATAGGTTTTTGACCAAGATTAGCAAAAATAAATTGATGTAAAAAAAAAAATTCCAGATTTACGGTAGACAGTTCTCTATGTTTGGTTCTCTATGTCATCTGGCTTTGAGCTGGGGTGGTGGGGTAGACTCCTTAACTTTATATAAGAATGAATGGGCAAAGAGAGATAACTGCTTAGAATGTTCCTATTGAGAGCTGCAATGAGTCCCATGGTATTAATTAACTTTCCTCTTGAAGAAAATCTGAAGCATTATCTTTATCTGTCAGATTGAGATT